TTCCCGCGCCGGGGGCGGCGCGAGGTGCGCGACGCCGTCGGCGAGATGCAATTCGCTCTGGGGCGGGCGGGCGGCGCGGACGCTGCTTTCAAGGCGCTCTACCGGAGCGCGGCGTCCGGGGCGAACAAGGGCGTCTTGAGCGCCGACCCAGAGAACGCTCGCGGCGGCGTTCGCCGCAGCTCCGCGCAGGAGGCCGCGCGCAAGCGAGCGCCTTGGCTCGCCCCCCTCGTGGACAGGCTGCTCGGCGCGACCGCGCGGAACGTTTTCGTCGCCAACGACGGCAGCGCCACTTGGATCGAACCAGCGACTGGTGCGCCGCAGGGTTGCCCGCTGACCCGTTGAGCGCGTTTCTTTTCTGCTGCGCTCTCGCGGGGGTGCTGGAAGAGGCTTTGGTGGAGCTGCGCCAGCGTTGCCTGGGCACGAAGATCGCCGCCTGCGCCGACGACATCTACGCGTTGTGACCTGCGGCGCAGTTGGCTGCCACGCAAGACGCCCCTGCGCCCCGGCTGGCTGCTATCGGTCTCCGCATCGCCCCCGAGAAGTCCGGGGTCTGGTTGATGCCAGAGACGCCCGCCCAGAACTTGCCGCAGACCATGCAGGCGGCAGTCGATCAACGCCTGCCGGTACTTGGATGCACGTTGCACCAGCGCGACCGCGACGACGCTTAGGCCTCTGGTATCGGGCCCTCAATGCGGGGTCTCCACCGGGCTGCAACCCTGGCCCGCGACGCCGCGGCCGGCCTCGAGCGGGCGCAGGAGGGGTCTCTGCTGTCAGGTAGCGGGCGCCATTCTCAATTGTGCGGTGCGTCACTGTCGGGGCGCCAGTGCACCTCCTGCGCTCGCGCCTTCGGAGCCATGCTGCCGCGGCTCACTGCGACCAGGCGGCGGCGGAGGCGCGGGGGGGCCTCGTCGGCGTGAACCTGACGCCGCAGCATCGCCAGCTGGGCAACTTAATTACCCCTGCGAGACGGTGGAGCGGCTCTTGGCCTGGCCACCCCGCGCGCAGCGGCGGCTTGCTTCGCCGGGTGGCTACGCTAGCTGCGGAGGCAATGCGGAGGGGCCCCAATTCGCACATATGCCGGTCTAGAAGCTGCCTTCCCGGCTTTGGCGGCGGGCGCGCGAGGGGGCATTGGCGCCGTCGCCCATCCTACGACGCGAGGGCCGCAAGTTGGACTTCACGCAGGAACTGCCGACGCACTTGCAACGGGAGTTCACAAACGCCGCAATGTTCGCGGCGCGGGCGGACCTTCTCCACCAGCTTCCAGGAGAGGCGCGCATGGGCTGCCTGCGCCAGGGCGGCGGCCCGGAAGCGGGCGGCTTCCTGCGCGTGCCCTTGCAGGGAGTGCGCGCGATGGCCGACGGGGCGCGGCGCGTGGCTTTGCGCGGGCGCCTTCTTTGCACCGCAGACCGAATCATTTCTCCTGTCACAGCGGAGACGCACCGTCAGCGCACCAGGCGCCGGGGTGCACGCGGGGCGCTGCTGGGAAGGATCGTTGGCTTCGTGCACGCGGATGGCTGCAAGGTGGGCGGCGGAGTTGTTGGAGGCCGTAGTGAGGTGCGGGACATCCTTCTGCGCTTTGCCGCGAAGTGCGTCAAACGCGGTGCGCTCAGAGAACGGCGTCTGGAGAGCCCGCGGGCGGGCGTGCTCGAGGACGCCGATGACGGGGGCTCGCCGGGCAACGTGCTCGACGCGGTCCTCAATCGCGACGGCGGGCGAGTGGCTTTGGACATCGCCATTGCGGTCGCGCGCTGCCGCCGCGCGCTGCCGCCGCCCGAGATGGGGCCGCGGCGGCCCAGGGGGAACGCGGGAAACGCCGCCGGCGCGCCAACGCGGCGCCGCGCGCGTTCGAGATCGGCGGCCGGACAGGCGAGGACGCCTGAGCCGTTGCCACCCGCGTTGTCGCGGTCATGGCGGGCGGCGACGCCGAAGCGCTTGTTCTGGCCGCTACCCTGCGGCAGGATATTAGCACTGCGTTGCATTCTGCTGCGGTGTGGCGAGCCAGCGCCTTCGCGCGGCCAGACTCCATGGCCCTATCGGGCAGCTGGTAGAGATGGCGCCAGCGGCTACGACGAACCTGCAGCAGCCAAAGAAGAGCAGGCGGCGTGCGCTGCAGCCGCAGGGGGCAGCGCGAGGCGCTTTGGCCTCCTGGCGCGGGCCCGGCCCCGCTGGTGCTGCAGCGCTGCGCCGGCGCCGCGCGGCCGGCGCCTGCTGGCCAGCCTCCCCGCGCGCCTTGGCGATTTCTTTGCGGCTGTAGAGGAAGGCGCCAGCGGCCGCGACTGGCGACCGGGCCGCGGCACCGGCGCCCGCGTGGAGCTGGGCGCCCGCGCGGGGTTCGGCGACTGCGCGAAACTGGTCGGGCGCGCGGGCTCTCGCGCTGGACCGGGCTGGCGCGAGCGGCGGCGGCGCGCGGGCGCGGCCGCCGCTGGGTGCCGGGGGGCGACTGGCGCAGGCGGGCAAACGGTCGTCGCGGCCGTCCGCGCCATCCTGGACGTCGCCGACCTGGTCCCAGGCATGCGAGGTATAGGCTCTGGCCGACGCACCCCTTCCCCCTTGGGGGTGGCTCGCCGCTGAGCGGTGGGTCGCAAGTGCGGTTGGGGGGGGGGTGCGCCGGCTCCCGACTGAAGCGCGCCGGCGGCAAAAAGGGCCTGCGTGGCGCGCAGGAGCAGGAGCAGGAGCAAGAGCAGGAGCACGCGGCGGACGAGCAGGAGGCGGGGGAGCAGGAGGCGGACTGCGTGGATGACGAGGGCGACGAGGAGCACGAGGCCGACAACGGGCCAGGGCGGGCCTCGCAGGGGCCTCGCAGGGCGGGCCCCCCGCACCGGGGACACATAGCCCGCTGCCGCAGCTGGGACCAGCTATCGTTTCCCGGGGCTCCAAGGGCCCCTGCAGAGGCCCCCTGCTGCAGGGGCGAAGCAAGAACGTACGCGCAAATGAACCCACGTTGGTTTCGAGTGTACGCATTGCGTGAGCGTTCGCATCACGCGGCCAGTCTCGCGGATTGGGTGGTCGTGTTCATGCACGTGGTTGGGCGCGCACGTTCTGCGTGGGTTCCATACTTTGTGTGCACAAACATAAGTTGTCAGGCCTCAGCACGCATTTCTTGGATCAGCGTTGGGCCCCCCTGACGGCGACTTCTCCGCCGCCCCTGGCGCGCTCCGCGCGCCAGGGAGGGGAGGGGACCCAGCGCGGATCCCAGACATCCGCGCGAAACGTCCAACATCTTTGGTTGTGCAGCTTTGTTTCCTCAATGGATTACTTCGGGGTCCCCCCAAAGGTGTGGTGAGTGTGGTGACCGCACCGCGTGGTGAGTCAGTGGGGGCTCGAGGTCACCGACGGTGTGGGGTTCGGGCGACTGGGGCCACCGAGGCTCCAAAACTGCACGGTGCCAGACCGCGCGGTGAGGTCGTTGAGGATTTGGAGTGAGTCACCACGCGGTCCGCCACCACACGGCCTTTGGGCCCCCGAATGCTCCAGAGGTCCCAGAGAGGGGCCCGCGAATTCGTCAGATAGCCTCGTTCTCCTCGTCGTCCTCTCCCCCCTCCCCCCCCCCATCCTCGACGCAGCTCACCTGCAGGGGCGCGAGATCACAGCGCTCGCGCCGCGCGCGCAACGCGGCCCGAGCAGGGGAACGCGTGCTCTTCCAGGGTGCTCGGCCCCAGGTCGCGAGGGTGGCCGCGCCTCTCGCCCCACACGGTGCGATCGCCGCATCTGGGCGGCCCTGTTCGATCCTTCCCCTTCGTCAGAGGAGGAGCATTGTTGGGCTTGTTTTCCACCACCACCAACATAAGTTGGAGGGAGGGAAGGAGGTGGAGGATGAAAAGGAGGACGAGGAGGAGGAGGAGGAGGAGGAGGAGGAGGAGGAGGACCCCATCCCCCTCCTACTTGCGGCCCACCAAACATGATCGGCGGCGAGTTTGCGTGGGTGGGAAGCGGGAAGGGGCGGACCTTCTCAGAAGGTTCGGAAGGCCTCGGGCCTTCTGAGATATGTTCTCGGGGCCCACCCCGAAGACAAAGGAAACTGATCAGAAGACGCCGCCTTCTGAGAAGGCCTTCCCCCCCGCGCTCGCCGCCGACCTTCGTCAGAAGGGGGAACGATGCCGATGCTATGCCGTTGTTTGTTTATCTAGTTACCTCTCCATCGTCGCCACGAGTCCAGCTCGAAATCAGGGTTAGACCGCTTCCCGGGAGAGGCCCGTGCAGTAGCGGTACCGGTACCTGTCTTATCCCCCTCAGGTGTGGCTCGATCTTCCTCGTTCGGAGCTTCGGGGAGTTCGCTGACCTCGGATGCCCTCGTCGATTGAATGCGCGGGCCCTGGTGTCCAACGCTTCCCTGGGCAGCGGGACTTTTAAAATCCTGATTTGTGCTTCCGGACCTCCAGGATTCCGATCGGTATTCGGGGTGACCGCACGGTTTTGCGACCTGTCTCGCTCTCCGAGGACGTCTCGGGCGACGGGGACTTCCGAAGTCCCAAGACGGTGAGGCGACGGACCGTGCGGCGAGGTCTTCGGGGAGTCCGAGTTCACGGCACGGTATGTCATCGCGACGGCCCCGGGGCCAAGAAGCGGTCCGCAGAGGCCCAGGATGGCTGAGAACCTTTGCCGATCGGGTTCTCCGAGGCGTCGCTGGTCTGGGGACCTGAAGGCTTGATCCTGCTCCTCAGGAGAAGGGGGTGGAGGAGGAGGAGGAGGAGGCGGAGGAGGAGGAGGAGGAGAAGGAGGGGAGGGGGAAAAGGGGAGAAGGCGAGAAGGAGGGGAAAGAGGAGGAGGAGGACGAGGACGAGGAGGACGAGGGCGAGAAGGAGGGGAGGAGGGGGAGGAGGAAGAGGAGAAAGCGGAGGAGGAGGGGGAGGAGGACGAGAGGGAGAAGGAGAGGAGGAGGAGGAGGAGGAGGAGGAGGAGGAGGAGGAGGAGGAGAAGGAGGACGATGTTGGGGAGGAGGACGGGGATCAGACTTCCGAGGGCCTCTGAGGAAGCCTCCAAGGTGCGCGCGCGCGCGGCAGGCTGCGCGCTGCTCGGCGGCGCCTCCTGGGCTCCGAGCGCGTTCAGCTACGCATGGCGCTCGGGCGGCGACGGGGCGCTGGGCGTCTACGCCACGGAGCGGATCGGCCGCGGCGAGGCTGGCTTCGTTCGCGAGCGGCCCCTTGCGTTTGTCGTTCTCGCCTGGGCTGGCCTTCGTCGCTGAACGTCGTCGTTGTCGTGGTGATCGTCGTCGTCGTCGCCATCATTGATGTCATTGGCGTCGTCCTGAGGGACGCCAACTTTACACCTGCACCGATCTTGGCCATGCCTCCCCTGGGCCCAGGATCGGTGTAAATGCCCTTATGCGCAACCAGGGAAGCGGAGGGCAGGATCGGCTTGGCCTGGATCGGTGTCCGTGTATCGTTGTCGTGTTTCCGATACGGCGAATGTCCGTTGGCCAGCGTTGGTCGTAGGCGTCGTCGTCGTCGTCGTCGTCGTCGTCGTCGTCGTCGAGAGATTGAGCATCGAGGGGTCAAAACTCGCAGAGGCACCACGGCGCGCACCTCGAGGTGGCCTCGGAGGGCCGTCGGAGTGACGGAAGAAACCAGGGTCGTTTGCGCCGACGTTCGCGCGTCAGTTGCCCGCGCAAGGTCGCGCGTAGGCGTTCTCGTTTCAATTGTGGCGTGTCGCGGTGGCGGCCCATGTGAGCCGCGGCGCAAGGCCGCCGTACCATCTCGCGAAGGACCGTTTCTTGTTGTCGCCCATCTGCCAGGAGTTCTTTCGTCCTGGGCCTCCCAGATGGGGTCAGAGTAGATGGGGACGGAGGACTGCGCCTCGCCGATGCATAATGGGGAGATGCGGCTCGACATGGAGGCACCTTTTCTCCACGCCGATGTCGCCTATGCGTCGCCGACGTCGACGATACATCGGCGATGCGGCGGCATCCTCCGACCCTGTCGAGTCGGACCACTCCTTTGGGAGGCCCCTCATCTGGCAGGAGGCCCTCTCAGGAGCCTCCGAGCCCCTTCTCCCTCTGGGGCGCTGCTGGCCCCCCCGCGAGTGACCCCTAGAGGCTCGGCCCACCCGCCAAAGTAGCATGATGGGCCTGTTTTCCACCACCACCACCACCACCATATGGTGTAGGTGGGAAGGATGTGGATGACGAGGAGGAGGAGGAGGAGGAGGACGAGACGGAGGAGGAGGAGGAGGCGGAGGACCCCCTCCCCCTCCAACTTTTGGTGGTGGTGGTGATGGTGGGAAACCAGCCCATCAAAGCATCCGCGTCCACCGCTCCACGGACTTTGCCCGCAGGGCCTCCTCGAGGCGTGGCGGGCACGCGCATCCTTCTGCACAGCCCCTGCGCTGTGCGGGGGATGGCAGGGCATTCGCATCCGCCGCTCCTCGGGGCGTCGGGTGCAGGATTCCCTGTGGCTGCTCGTGGCGCGCGCCGCCGCGCTGCGGCTGGCGAGCCCGCGCAGAGTCGCAGCGTCGCCGCCACGGGTACCCATTCACGGGTGGTTTTGGAAGTTCGACGAGAGTCTTTTTTAGGTTCGCGCAGTGCAGCGCGTTGCCAAAGTCGGGATTTTTTGGGTTCGCCTGGTCGTTGGCCAAGTGTCTCGTTAGCACTTACCTGTCAGTGGTGCGCTAAGAGACAAGCTGTGCACGAGTTGTCTACTAGTGCCCGTTCCTAATAGTTTTTCTTGTTTGTTTGAGAACTTGCGCTTGAAATGACGACTCAGGACGATAAGTCGGTCTTCGGGAAGGTGTCGGGCGCTGCGGGGTCCACGTATTGAACAGCCAGCCAACGCGTGGGATGTATGGCCTCCCTCCTGAACATCCGTCTCCGACTCCGTTGCATCGGCAACCACCCAGTCTTGCACTGGTGCGGGGTTGTTGATGGCCCTAGTCATTCGAGAAGGCAGCTGCGCTCGGTGACCAAGCGTATCAGCATTTTCTGGGGCAAACGGGGACGCAAGATAACGTACGTCATATTTGTGTGTGTGTGTGTTGGTATATCTCATTTGTTTCTTTCTTTCTCTCTCTCTCTCTGTCTTGCTCGTTCTCTATATTTGTGTCTCTTGCTTCGGCGTCTGTTTATTGTTTCTTCTCTGTGCGTCGCCCCCCCCCCTTTCAGGCGACGCGCGCTCCGAGAAATCATATAGTATCAGCTCCGTGGCAGGCGCTTTCTGGCCATATCGCTCGGGAAACGATATATTGTAGTGGCCTCTGGCCAGTGCCGTCGACCCGGGGCGCTCCGGGTGCCTGTGGAAATGAACGACGACGAGGAAGACGAAAACGACGACGAAAACGAATACGTCGACGACGACGACGACGAGAGCGACGACGACACGATATGTTACAATTTGTGTGGTCTATATGTTCGGGTCGGACGCACGTATCCAAGGAGGACGCAAGGTACTAGTGTGTTATTTTGTGTCCCAGTTCTCTCTCTCTCTCTCTCTTTCCCTCTCTCTCCCGCTCTCGCTCTCTCTCCCTTGTTTTGTGTTATCTCTTTTTTTTATGTTTTTGTTTTTTTTTTTTCTCTCTCTCTCTCTCTCCCTTTCTCTCTTTTTCGAATATGTCTGTCTGTCTGTCTGTCTGTATGTCTGTATGTCTGTCAGTCTGTCTGTTTGTCTGTATGTATTTTCCTCAAGCAGTGCTTGCACCTCGAAATTCTTACGTTTTGTTTGAGGAGCTGGGCCTGTCTGTTGGCCTGGCGACAATGTCGCCGCTCTTTTCGCCCCGTCGCCACCTCGTCGCCGCCCGTCGTGTGAGCCTGTCTCGCGGTCTGGCGACTATGTCGTCGCTGTCGCCGCCCCTTCGCCACCTAGATTCTCTTGTCTCAAAAAGAGATAGGTTCTCCCCCCCTCACACCCCCCCCCGGGTTAAACACTCACTTTGCCGGGTTTAAATTTACGTATGATTTTGCCCCACCGTCGATCCTAACAAGGAATTCATACTATCCCAGCTAGGCCGGTATCGTCCCCCCCATTTATCTTCAGCACAAAATATTACGTGCGCGCACTCGTTAATCAAAAATCAAAACATGTCATGAATCCTTTCTGCAAGAAATGGGACGAAGTGCGCACGCGCGCGCCGTCGCGCGCGCATGCCGAAATCCTTCTACAACGTCTTGGTTTCGGAAAGAATTCAAACTCGAGTGTCCAGGAAACATATATTTTCACACAAGGTTTCGCAACACTGATTTCCCAAAAAAACATGCGCGCGCCCTTGCGAATTCTTTAGACTACCATCGGTTTTCCAGCATGTTCTGGAAATGCTACCAAACGGGCTTCGTGCGCACATGCCGAAATCGTTCGGACGCCCTTGCGCGCGTGTTGGGGTGGCACGACCCGTGTCAAATTATATTCTGCGGGCCACTCGCGCGTCTGCCGCGCGCGCATTTCGAACTCCTTCCAAAACCCAGAACCTTCATCACCGATGCGAAGACGCTGTCATCGCCGCCGGCGCGATTGGCATCATCATCGTGTCTACAATAGTCGACGTTGCCATGATATCGCGCCCGCCCAAGTCGCCGACTCGCACTCAAGTGCCCGCTGGGATGTGCCGAGCGGTCAGCACCACCGCGGCCGCGTCGGTCGCGCCAAAGTACCTGGCCGCTGCGCGCGTGCGCGCATGGTCGGGCTGGCGCGGCCGCAGAGATACACCAGCCAGCGCCAAGTACTCACCGCAATCGCCGCCGCATGATGTTTGCAAACCAAGTTGCGGGTGGGTGGGTGGGTGGGGGGTTTGCGCGAGCAGTGGAGTGGCCTTTTTTTCCACAAGAGCGGACACAACTTAATTGCACCGTGTAGATTGCACCACGCATTCTGCACCGCAGGTATGGGCCCACAGAGATTGCACCACGTCTGTTCCATCCCGCAGGCTTCCGCGTGCTGTTGCGGGTTCTCATGATAACCATAGTTTCTCGCGATCATCAATTGCGACCAAGCGGGTTTTTTCTCGCGCGCGTGTCGAATGCATTCGAACGCCCGTGCGCGCGCGTTGAGGTTCCCACGATGTGGGCCACATCCTGCCGTGCAAACCACTCGCGCCCGTCGGCCGCGCACGCACATCGAAGTCACCCAAAGTTGTCATCAGTTGGAAAGGTCCTTTTGGTTCAATTTCCTCATCGCCACCACCCCACCCGTTACGCAGCCTCCGTCTCCAGCGCCGCACCCAACACTCACCAGGTTCCGCCCTCACGATGTTATTGAACACGTTCGTTTATTTAATTCCCTCTTCCTCCCCCACCACACCTTGTAGTGCACAGCCTCCCCTCCCCAACACCCCAATATTTTCAGTTCTCCACCCCCACGTCCTTCGACTCAACATCCTCCGTCTCCACCACGCCCAGTTTTCCGCAGCTTCCATCCCCAGCGACACACCCAATATTCAACAGGGTCCCTCCCAAATCTGATTTTGACAAAGTCGCTGTCCTCAACCCCCTTCGCCTCTACCACCACACCCAGTGCTTTGCAGCTTCCGCTTCCAACACACCCAACAGTCAACAGGCTCCCTCCCCAAGACGAACTTAAAAAGATAATTCTATTCAACCCCCTTCCGTCCCCAACACCACAGTCAATCCTCAACAGGCTCCCTCCCCAATATGAGTATGAACAGAACCTTCTACTCGACTTCCCCCGTTTCAGCACCACACCCAGTACTCACAGCCTCCGTCCCGAACGCCCCAAAAAAATATATTCTAGACGCTGCGCGTAACCCCACCAGCCTCCCCTGTCGTCGTTAGTGCGACGGCGGCCTCAGCTCCCCATCTTGCCCACTGGCGTGGTGACAGTACGGTCAGCCTTGTCGGCATTGGCAGATAGGGCCGTCGGTCCAGCACCTGATTGGCGCCCGTGCAGACGTTCGCTGCAGTCACAGGGGTGCTTTCTGGATGCACAAGACGCTCACCGCGGGTACCAGGGCTCGCTTGGTCGCTCCCATGGAGGTTGGCTGCACTCCCCTCTGGTGCGTGCAGGCTGGCCGACGTCCATGTGAGTGATGGTTTGGCTTGCCTGGCAGTCCGGCCCCACCGGCGGGTCCGTGTTTTCTTTTGCTCCCGTCTCCGCTCGTTGGCACACGTTCTGCGTCCGGTTTTTTGCATTCTCTGTCCTCCCCACCTGGTCTGCCCATCCGTGGCCGATTCGCCTTCGC